AAAAAAAACAAATCTTTTTTGCAAAAAAATCCAAAAGGACAGTTTGGGAAACCACAGGTTCATCAGCCTCACTTTGTTCCCTGAAAAAATAATGTAAAAAGTCCTCTAGGAAAACATTTCTCGGCACATGAAGGATTAGGTGGTGGCTGATAACTGTAAGCATGGATTTATCAAGCATAAATTATGCCCGCCCAATCTGTTTGCCTTCTATAATAAAATGACTGATTTTGCAGACCAGGGCAGAATGGTGGATACCATTTACCTTGACTGTAGCAAGGCTTTCAACACCATCAGCAAATACTCAACATAAAAGTTTGGATGCTACAGTCTGGATGAATGGACAACTAGATAAGTTAAAAACTGGTTGGATGATCAGACTCAGAAGGTAGTAAATATGTTGTACTGTATCTGGAGGCCAGCAACAAATGGAGTGCCATTGGGGTCTATCCTGGAGCCTGTTTTTTCCTTTTAAATATCTTTGGCAGTGACTCGGTGATAAAAATATACGCTTCTCAAGTTTGCAGATGACACCAAATTGGATAGAACGGTCATTATGCTTGAGGGCAAAGCTGCCATGCAGAGATACCTAAACAGATGGGAGGAATGGGCTAACAGGAACCACACAAAATTAAACAGGACACCCAAAATCTTGGAAAGTTTTTGCAATGATACAGGCTGGGGAACAGCTCTGTGTCAAAGAACCTGAGAGTCTTGGTGCATGTTCAGCAAGCTAACCATGAGCCAGGGGTGTGCCTTGGCAGCAAAGAAGGCCAACAGTATCCTTGGCTGGATCAACAGTAGCACAGCCAGTAGTCTGAGGAATGTGATTATCCCTCTCTAATCAGCACTTATTGGACCAAACTTAGAATACTGCATCCAGTTTTGGGCCCCCTAGTCCAGGAAAGACACTGATAAACTGGAGCAAGTTCATCAGAGAGCTGCCAAGATGGTCAGGGAGACATGTCCTGTAAGAAGCAGTTAAGAGAACAGTCTGGAGAAGAGATGGCTTCAGGGGGATCTACTAACAGCTTTCCAACACCTGCAAGAAGGTAATCAAGAAGCCAGGCTCCTAATGTTAGCAGTGAAAGAGACAACAGGCATCAATTGAAACAAGAGAGGTCCCAACTTGATACAAAGGGGGAAAAAAAACCACAAAACCCAGCTTTTCACAAAACAACTTCTCACCATGAGGACACTCAAGCAGCAGAACAGACTACCAAGTGGGAGACTGTGCTGTCTCCGTGCTTGGAAGTTTTCAAAGATTGAGTGAAAAAAGCCCTGGTTAACCTAGGCTGACCCCATAATTGAGCCTGCTTTGAGCAGAGTATTGAACCAAAAACATCCTGATGCTCTCTCCAACTTAGATTATTCTATGATCCTAAGTTTAAGGAGTCCTACAGACAATGTCTTGCATACACTCACACAACTTTCTAGCAACTTCAGAACACAAAACTCCAGGGCTACATGAACACCATCCAAATAACTCAAACATTCAGCACAAGACCAGATTAAGCCTTATATGCTTTCTCTCCCAAAAATACTACTGCATCTCCAGATGCAATCACAGCTTCACAAAAGCAACACATAAGAAACAGTATTTCTCCCTGTCAAGGGAAAGTTCAGTGCACTAACCCACATGTCAAGCTGTATAATTTCTACAGTTAACTGTAGAAGACTGCTCACGGACCTGAAATGAAGACCCACTCCAAAACATCACACTTGCTCAAATGTGTTGAATAAAACAATTCAGCTAACATTAGATTTAAACAGACACTAATGTGAGCTGTGCAATAGTGTCACCTAGTGGTCCATGCTTACTGTGAGCTCTGGGCCCAATTCAAGAAGAAAATTTACTGCCCCTCTACCAAATTTGCTACTCTACAAAATCAGTGGTGACTTTTAAATATATATATATGTATATACACATATATCTATATGAACCAAGAAGTACAGTAATCAATAAAACAAAAGCCTTTCCATCATTCAGTTTTAAGTTACACATATCTTTTACAAACTTGAAAAAAGTTATTCCAGAAATAGGATAAGTTCTTTCCAGATGCAAGAAGCATTATTGTCTGGCCTAAAAGGGAACGATTTCCAGAATGATGGATTAATACTGCACTTTTTCATTTACACCAACAGAAAAGAGTTTCCAGATCCTCAGGTGTATAATAATCACCTACTTCACTGACAAATACAACATTGATGTGTTTCTTATCAAGAAACAGGCACAAAAAGTAGAACATCCAAGCTCTCCATGTACTGCATAAGCATTGTCCAAGTCTTATATGTACAGAATCTGTAAACAGTTCTAGTGTTACAAGTTTTACAGCATCCCCAAACTTTAAGGAATGATCATGCTGCTGAATCTTGAAAGATTACTGATTTCTTCCAATCTTAGACAACTGGAGAATGAGGAGAGGAAAACTTCAAGTACTTCAGAATTGTAGAGATTTGCAAAAATGTTCATTTTGCTCAGTTAACATGCCTTGAAACTACCAAAGTTCATTATAGCTTTCCAGTTCTCCTACTGCCAGATCCGCTTATACTTTGCACCACATTGGAATCAAATCATCATGGTTTCATTAAATTTCTACTCTCTTAGACAGCTTTCCCTCCCCTCATCTCATCTACTGTCACTTTCTCAGCTGGATGACTTGGAGATGAGAAACACATTTTTGTTATTCTCCATAGGTTAGTAGATATTTTGTTGCACCATGTCTCCTACTATGTTTAAAACAGTCTTAAGCACTGCCTATCACTGTTTCTAGGTTTCCAATACAAAGGAACTTGACTCAGGCAGATGAAGAAAGCCTCTTTTCTACATGTGTTCCACAATGACCCAGCATTTATTTGGCTACTTTGTATTTTATGCAAGTTCAAATTTCTTAAGAACTCCATTGTAACTAGATGAAACTGAAATAACAAGACTTCTAATTATTAAGTAAACAACCAAAAATACTTCATTTTTCTTATGGCATAGCAAATACTGAGACCTTGTTTTTGCAGCTTGGCTAATACCTACACCAGAGAAACAGCAACACCACAGGGAGGTTGTCCAGTTTGCTCTTCGATTTCTCAGCAGGCTTCTAAAGACTAAGCAACTGAAACTGTTGCTGCACTGTTGCTTTTTTCCTCTGCTCCTAAGATTACAGTAATAACAGAACTAGACAAATTTCTTGTGTAAAACTGCATCTTCTGGAATTCGTAACTGTCACATGACAGGCAGGGCATACAGACAGTCCTCTCATATTGTTTACCAAACACTTAAGAAAAATATTTTTGTCCACAGATGTTGTGACCCTTAGTTTCTAAGCTGTATACTAGTCCTATAACATTTGAGAACTTCAGTATAATAATGAAGATTCTTTCAAAGACAGACAACAGATCAGTATATTTCTATGAGCACTGAGCATTATATAGATATATATATATATAAACAATACTAGTATTTTACATCATGATGTATAAAGCCCACATAGATTATAAGAGATTCTAGAAACACCACAGTACAGCTAGCTTCCATTCTTGGTCAGTGATACAACCAATGACACCTACATGTATATATGCAACCTAATGAACACATCAGAACCTGACATTAGATTTATATGCCAAAGTGAAATAGATTCTCATACTATCCATACAGAATGACAACTATAGGAACAGAGTGCTGAGGAAAATGAACACAGGTACAGTGACAGTAATAAAAGAGAAAGCAACAGAATAAATAGTTGAACGCTAAAAAGAATTTCCAAGCTCTAAGGAATTCTCCCAATTAGAAACTGATAATTCCCAGCAACTATCCCACTCTGATTTTTCTCACGTGCCTGAAACAGAAGGGTAATTAACAAGATCTATTGTTTCATGTTACACTTTGCTTAACTGTACATACCTGAAAAAGTGGTCTTTCCACCCTAAAAAGTAAGTTCATGTACATAAATGATTTTCCATTTCTTATTTTTATCAACGCACTGCTACAGATACAATTTAAATTAAAAAAAAGCATACATTAGACCTTGAGTCAAAAGTTTTCTTTAATCACCAGCACAGACAGCATGTTGAAATTAAAGAACAGAGAAGCAGAATTTTAAAGTAAAATAAAAACTGCAAAAACTTCAGAAATACTTCCCATTTCCAGCTTCAATACAACCTGAACAGTAATTTAAATGTTTATGGTTTGCTTATAACATTTTAATTTTTTCAACTGTGTGGATTAGCCTCAATTCAAAATAAAAAAAAAGATTCTTTAGTATCAAGGACAGAAATATTACAGTTTATCTGTTAAAGTTTTGTATAGAAAAGTTACTGATTATAAATGAAAAAGATTACTAACTTCTATAATGCTTAAGAAAATTGTTCTTATCTTTGTACTAGTGCCAGCACTTACCAATTCAAATTCCTGCATTACACACTTACACTTCTCTAATTAATCTCACACTTATAAGCCTGCCCAAAACACTAACTTCAGGTCTTCAAAGAAATTCAAAAATCAGTGACTTCACCAGAGCCTTCCTAAGAAATAATTCTCATGCTTCACTTACGTAGTTAAAAAGAAGAGAAAAGAAAGGCTAAATAACCCATGTCATCATTTGTCAGCAGCAATAACGCAACTCCTTTACACAAGGGTATATACAGTGAAATGACAAAAAAGAAGTAATTAACAAGCAAGAAGTAAAGCACAGATCAGTTACGTACTCACCAAACCCACAAGACCGAAATTTTTGGAAGTTCATTTACAACTAGGGAACTAATCAAATAGCCATATAGACATTGATTCGGGAAAAATGTAATACAAAGAATAACCTCAAATATTCATAAGCTTATCCCAATTGTTTTTCAAATATTTATATTTTCTAATAATTTCTAAGTTATTCAACACTTCAGAGTAAATGTTTACAAGTAAATTATTAGATTTTCTTTTGTTCCCCTTCTTTGAGATGCATACATAAGGAAAAAAAAAAGATGTTCAACATGACAAAAAATATAACAAATTCTGTTACCTTGGATTTAAGATTTCACCAACAATTTCTTGCAGCTTGTCAATAAAATTAACAAAGTTTGAAAGCCCCTTTACGTGAACTCTTAAAGGATCAAATAATGAAGATGCACAGCCTCTTCCTCCAAGTTCTACAGTTCGAATAAAAGATGTTGCCATCTATTGGGAGAAATATTCAGAAATATGAAACTGTAGACACATGTGAAATGTACGCATGTTGAAGTGAGCCTCTCCTACAGATATGCAAACAGTGTATAACAGATGGCTGATAGCAGAAATAATCTAATTGAAGCCAATAGAAGACTACTTTAATGGCAAGCTTTGTACATCTCACCATAAATATTTGCAAGATCAATACTTAAATAGTGTAGCAGCATAAAAAAAACACAAGTGAAAATGACCCAGCTAATTTAATATTTACCCTGATCTTTTGACAGAATAGAAAAAGCTTTATTAACATGGGATATAGAGTTTTTTCATTGTTGCTGCTGTTTAAATGCTCTTGTTGACCTCACAAAAACTACTTACATTCAGAGGGCTGTCTTTGACCCAAGAACAATTTTTACATGAACACGTAAAAGTTTACTTCCGTAGTATACTTATTTTCAGAGGTACAAATAAAAATAAAGTATACACAAAGCTTCTGCAAAATTACAACAGTTAAGGCTTCCATCACCACAGGTATCCAGTTCTGAAAGTTTCCATATATAAAGACACTGAAACCAAGAGATGACCCAAAAGCAGTACACCCTAGAGGACAACGCCTCAAATGTTAAGGCAACATCCAGAATAAAAAGCTTAGCTGTTCTCCAGAGAGGTGAAAGATAACAATCCAATAGGCTTGACACAGATATAGTAATATTAATTCTACATATAAATTTTAATTTCAGGCTGTACTGTTAAATCATAAAGCTCTTGGGACTGGAAAGAGTACAACTGGAATTACTCTAGCAAGGAAAGTAAATCTGCCAGTATTCCTGCCTTTATGCTAAAGATTTCCTGGGGATCAAGTACAGTTCACAGGACCTTGCCTTCCCAATGGAAAAATACTCTGGCTTTGTAGGATTTCTAGAAGACAAATGCCAGAAAAGACAACTTCTTTACATGGTAGAGAAATTTCCCCTCTGGCAACTGTGAGGAAAAGGTAATAAATCCAGTCCAAACACATGCCTTTTTTTTTTAATACAATGCTAACAGAGCATTAGGAGCAAAAATAATTCATCCTGGAAATGAGATTTCACAAATTTCTCATATTTATTCAACCATGAAAATCTGAGAATGCAGCTGCTTCACTGACTGTTACATACCCATAGTGTTCTTCCTTGGTCTGCTGTTGTCGGCATTGAGGCCACTGTGCATTAAAAATTTGATTATTTTTAATGAGGGACTACAGTGTTTCTCTGGAAAAAGAATTCTTATCTTATTACAACTATTTTTGAGATGGCTCTGTGCTGACTGTAACTACTGTAAGTATAAATGCACCTCGCATAGCAAACTAGATTCTTTAGCAACAAGCCTCTGTGAGCACTGCAGATTGATACTGTCACTTTTTATATTCCTATACAAGGGCATTGAGGAAAGAGTATACTATTGTCTTGACTTTTTTTCCCCAGCTCTGTGCCTTTGAGAATAAAATGAGTGGGAATGTCCCATATCCATCCCATCTTTAAGATTATTTCAAGACGGATCAAGCCACAAATGACTTCAAAGCATTACCCTCCCCAAATTCTGTGTCAAAGCTGAAAAAACTGCAATACTGCCCTTTCAAATTTTGGCCTCTATTCTAGCATACATGTCAAAGGCAGGGTTTTGTCACCAGGTTGCTCTGAGAAAAGTAATTTGTACACAGAAATACTTGATGTTCCAGATGTCTCAAGTTTAACAAATGCACTGAAAAATGCTGGTTTACTATTTAACCAAAACATTTACTTACAGTACTTTAAAACTGAAACACATTGTAAGGCACTGTTAGTAGCTCAGGTTTGTTAATGTTACTACTGCTTTGTGATACATACTTAACCCCATCTCACCGCTTTTAGAGATATTTGTCAAACGTCAACATCTAGTCTAACGCCATCTTTTCTTCGTCTTTTTTCTTTGATGTGCATACTCACGACCTTACTTCACAATATTTACTAAGATTTCAAAATTTTAAGAGCAATAATAAAAAGCGTATCTTACATTCATGTTTAAGATAGTAAGCTTTTTCAGGATTTCAGTCACCGTTTGGGATGAACAGTCTCAATGCCTGTTTTTACAATTTAGATTTACATTTTATAGCTCTAGAGGTCCACATGCACACAGTTATTTTTCTGTGCATCTTCAGATTTCATGACCAAGCAAGCACCCATTTCTTCACATGTTTTTTCAACCTAGCAACCATGCTTACGGTGGTATTTTACTTGGGTTACAAATGTCAGTCTTGCATATGAGATTAAAGCAACATTTTATATTTATAGATATAATTTCATTGCTTATGATCTACAGCAAGCTTCATTTGACACACATACCAGGAAAATGGACATTCCTCTCTTCTGTGAGGCATGTTTTAGGTTCGTGAAGGCTTCTCTGCCAAGTCCTCTGTCAGGAACATTTAGAATATGAGCCAATGCCAGATCATCCTTAGAATTCACCAACAGGCTTAAATACGAACAAACACACTTCTTTGCCAGGATTCTCACCTGTATAAGAAAGCATCGCACAAATTGGTCACCCTGCTGCTAAATTATGTTTCTATGAGATATATACAAATATGATTTTTAGAAGAGTAAGAATTTCACCTTGCATAATTTCAAAATACTACTTGATGTATGGAAATTCTGGAAGTACTGACAAAAGCAAGCATGATTAATGTGTTGAAATTACATATACTGTACTTGAATATTCACAAAAACATTTGAGGGTTGGATCTCTAGCTATTAAAATTGGCTGTCAATTTCTACTTAGAAACCTCCTCACAGATATTAATTTTCAAAGGCAAAATATTAGCACTACGAAACCACATAAGAATTTGTCATTAACTTCAATTAGGTTAAGATTTAAAAAAAAAAATAAAAAAAATCTCACCAGCTCTGCACCAGATTCAGTAATCCCTTAGCTCCCAAGGGATTTCAGACACTGAAACTCCACTGATTGAGTTTTGACATAAATTATTACTCACAAAACCAAAACAGAACACTAATTGCTTATATTTCAGCATTGTTCTGGACCCTATAAGAACAACAGCCCCTGAACTGAAGAATTTACAGTTTTGTTGCAAGCAAAATAAACAATGGTGGAAAAAAGACCACTAATAAAAGGAAAGAAGAGAAATCCTACATTTGCTATGGAATGTCTTCTTGTTTAACAGGATGCATAAAACAAAAACGTAGGCAGTAAAAAAACCCATACATGTATGTATGACAGTCTGAAAAGACAGATTTAAGAGAATGAAAAAAGAGGAAGAATCTTCTCACTACACAAGTCAGAGCAGCAAGAAAGCCATTATGTTAGTGGCAGAAGTGCTATCAAGAGAAGAATCTTAGTTCAAAAAATATTTTCTTGTTCAGAAATACTTTTAGTTGTACCCAAATATTGAATTGAAATTGCCACTTACCATGAGAAAAGCAATTCTGGAAACTACTAAAATTCCAGCATTCAAAGCACTGCTATATAGTATTCTGAGATTCTTGGTTTGGGTGTTGAAAGGGTAAAAAAAAAAAAGAATCCAGTATTCCCAGAAATTCCTCAAGTCCTCCACTGGGACAGACAAACCTTGTTTGCTTTGCTGAAGTTACAACTACAGAGGCTATTCAGTTTTCTTCCATATGTAAGGGAGTACAAGCTAATGAAATTAAATCAAAGAAATTTACTTCACCTACCACTTCACTTTGCAGCATTGGGCAAATCATTTAACTCTTAGTCAAGAAAAATTTTGAGTGATGGTGTAGTTGTAGAAAAAAATTATTTCCTGGTATTTCAAGGCAGATTAAGTCTATATCAAGCACCTGTCATAAAAGGATTGTCTTCCAGAATATAGGTTTTTGCACTTAGACCCATACACACACCTATAAGATTGAATACAATTGTTCTGGGGTTTTTTTGGTTTTTTGGGGGGCTTTGGTTGGTTGGAGTTTTTTTTGTTTTTAAACCAGCAACATTTTAATATCAATAATTGGAAAAGGAAACTATGTTATATTTCATCTTAAGTTTTCAGTATATCAGGAACATTACAGAAGAGAGAAATAATTTTTACCTTCACATTCTCCTGGCCCTGTTTGTTGACTCGTGTAGGAGTAGAAAGAATAGAACCATTATTTTCTTTTGCATTCATTATGCCAGAAATAAATTCCAAGAGTTGAACCTTTAATAAAAAGATTAAACTTAAATATGAAGATGACTAAAAAGCAAACATAATATTAAAACCTGGTGAAACTATGCCTGCCAGTTTGCTAGTGTTTTTAGGTGAGCGCAGCCCCTACATCCTACTTCTGGTTTTAGTCTTTAAAAAGTACAACTGTTTTATCAGAGAAATGAGGTATAAGATTCAAATTAACTTCAGAAAAAGATATCTCAAACAGTTATGCACTAAAAAGCAACTGCCTGTGTTTTGGAGAACATCTCATATATTACACCATGTTTAGGAAGAGCTCGTCAACCCACCCAAGTTCTCTATTTTCCCCATGAAAAAAAATTGCAGTTTCCATGCCCTTCCCGAACTTCAGTTCTCCTTATAATCTCTTTTGTGCCTAATAAGTGTTTGAATGTAGGTTCTCTGAACCTTTAAGGAAGTAGGCAAGCTGGTTACAAGCTTACTTGTCATAGAATCATACAATAATTTAGGTTAAAAGGGACCTGTATAGATCATCTAGTATAAACCCATGCTTGAAGCAGGACCAGATTGACCAGGTTGCTCAGCGATGTGCTGAGCCATGTCTTTAATAACTCCAAAGATGAGACTCCGCATCCACTCTGGGCAACCTGTTCCAACATTTGACCACTTTTTTCATGGAGAAAGCTCTTCATTCTTAATAGGGCTGGAAGCTAAACAGTTTTAATCACGCTGTAACTACTAATTCATGGTATGTTCATAGCATACCTCAGTTCGGCTAATGTTCAGTTACTGATATAGCTTCCCTCGTATTAAAATGACTAATTAACCATGTATCAAATTCAGAAGATGAAATAAACAGTAACTTAAGTCTGCAATGCCAAGACAGTGGGCAGTGAAAGCAGACAACTAACTCCTCTCTAAATTTTCATTAGAAGCTAGAAGTATATCCATCTAAATCCAACATTCATTAATTTTTTCATTATCAATATATTTTATCTTTTGACCTTCCATGCTCTAGAGAGCACAGAACCAAATAAAATCATGTGGAATCCTCTGTTTGAACCATAATTGCTACTTACATATATTTTTATCCAATAACAGAATTTAATCAAATTCATTTTTCATAGAAGACTTAAATAGTCTAAGAGTGGAATACATACTACAACCTCACTAGCCTAGAGCATGGCCTCAACATGCAGTGTCATAAGATCATCTGAGCTGCAATAAACTGCAACAGAGCTGCTTGAGTGGCTGAAGTTGAACCTCTTCTAGTTTCTGGAAAAATCTAATATGGAACTACAAGTAGTATAGGGAAGTTTTTGCTTTTAAGAGTGTGGTATGATAACCTTTAAAAATATTTTGAGTGCCTATCAACATACAACCAAAACTCCATGACATGTTAATCACTAAGCTTTGCTTCAGTCTTATCAAATCTATACAGCTCATTTTTTCAGTTCAATTTCTGGCAAAGAGTGATGTACAAAGACAACAGCAAAGAGCAGCTG